AAAATATATATATATATATATATATATATATATATTTATATATTTATATGTTTTTATTGATTTCAGGGAGAGGAAGGGAGAGGAGGGGAGAGATAGAAACATCATTGATGGGAAAGTCATTGACCACCTGCCTCCTGCAGGCCCCCTCCTGGGGACTGAGCCTAAAACCAGCATGTCCCCTGACCTGAAATTGAACCCTGACCTCCTGGTTCATAGGTCAACGCTCAACCGCTGAGCAGCATAGGCAAGGCTCAAATTTCCACATTTTTTTTATTGATGAAATTTAAAAGATAACTATAATAATGGAGCACAACTTAGCTTTTGTAATTCAGATCTACTAGTGAGAAGAATAGAATTTTATTCAAATGATATTTTGCTTAATTGAGCTTCAAGGTTAGTGTTCCCAATCATCAAATTTATTGTAAATGTTCATTAGTAAAAACAATTTTTAGTTTGTGATCCAAACAAAAATAGGTAGAAGGCCAGATTTGGCCCACAGGCCATAGTGGACTGACCTCTGGCATAGATAATTTCCATTATAGTATGGGTTCAGTTAGTTCGAAAATCTTTTTGCTTTCTTCACAAGCCCTAAATTAAATCCCCACTAGATACTAACTCTACAAGGTAAGGATTCATTTGTCTATTCGTTGATGTATACCAGGCACCTGGCACATAGGAGGCCCTCCATAAATATTTCCTTTATGAAGCAATGAATAAAATATTTTCTGCTATTTTATGAATAGGCATTTGGGCTAGGTAGAAGCTAACTAACTCTTTTTAAAAATGTATCTTTATTCTTGAAAGTATTACAGATGTCCCCTTTTCCCCCCATTGACTCCTCTCCTTCCCCTGCCCCCCCTCCCAGGAGCCCTTCACCACATTATCAGGACTTTTTAAAAGATGGAACAATTTTTCATTGTGGATTTTAAATATATTTTTCTTTATTCAACATTGTCTCTACTACGTGTCAGGCACTATATGTGTGAAAGACTCCTGCCATCAATGAGCTCAGGCAGATACGAAAACAAAGGCTTAGAGCAGTGATTTTCAGCCAGTGGGCTGTGAGAATTGTTAAAACCTGCAATACCTGACTACTGTTTAGTTAGGGGCACTGACCTCTTTCCCTTAGTTAGATTGTCAGATAAAAAAGTGACAACAGCCAGCACAGTAGCCATCCAGTTTGAATGAATCAAAATGATACCTGTCATTTTAATCAGCAAAAAAAGCCAAAAAAAATTTTTTTTGGTGTGCTGCAAAATTTTAGTAATTAATTTATGTATGCCATGAGATGAAAAAGGCTGAATATTGCTGGCTTAGAGAGTCACAGTGCCTGAAGTTACAATATTGGAAAGTGCTTAAACCTGGGACTCAGACCTAGATCTATTTGACCCCAAAGTAGATGCTGGGGTAAAGAATTTTAATTTCACCCTAGAAACATACACCAATGGCATTTGTATCTTTCCTGCCCCTGTATGGACTGCCTACCAGCCAGGCACTGGGGTAGATGCTAAGGTAACTGAGTGATTGAAAATGTGCCGGCAGGATTCCAGTCAGTGAGTAAAGGAGTGACTAGGAGGTGAGAAAGGGAAGATTTTTTTTTTTTTCAGCCTGTCTGAGTCTTTTGTTCTGAGGTAGGTCTCTTGTAGACAGCATATATTTGGGTCTTGTTTTCTTGTCCATTCAGCTACCCAATGTCTTTTGATTGGAGCATTTAATCTGTTTATATTTAAGGTTATTATTGCTAGGTACTT